TCACGAGGCTATCACTTGAAATCATTTCATAGAACAGCTTACTTTGTCCGGATGCAGCGAAGCCGGAATATCCAGACGAGATGTTTGGTGGCACATCTAACTGATGGAGCATTCTGTGGATAACTATTTTTGTGCCGAAATTGCAGGCGAAGTTAAAACTTATAAAAACCTTGCTTATCTGGATTGTGGACGAAGGAACTGTTGGGTTAATTTCAAGCTTGGTATCTTTCCCTATGATACAGATGGAACTTTATCAACCGATGTCGTTTGAATCGGTAGAACAACAGGTTACCTGTTTCTCTGGGTTTGCCATCACAGTTTTACTTCATACAAATGTGTATAAGAGATAAAACGCTTGTATTAGCGTAATAGAGAGCAAATAAATGAATAAACTTCACTCACGAGACCTAACAACAAGGAACTTTTCATTATTTTGAACGAAATGATCTGAAAGACAGTAGATTATTTGTTGATAGCCTGCAAAATTCACAACCAAGACCCTCTTGTATTTTGTTGGAACCTACATTTAAACTTGCATATTCAAAATGAATTTTAAGGTACAGCTTGTAAACACTTAGCGTTGTGATGGGTTTCGTTGATATTACAGTGAAGTCGATAGAAACTGAAAGTGGATTATACTGATCAATCTGAGGACCAGCATCTTTTGGTCTCCTCATGTTGTATCTTTATACGCAAGTGCGTTTACGTCTGAAAATCTGTGGATGTGAGCTGCGAAACACATTAGTACCCAGAAAACATTCTGACTGCACCTTCGCAACGAAAGTTTGATTTGAATTTTTATAATGTAATGATATACCTTAATAGACCAGGATTACATTTATAATCATGCAAATATTGGAGATCAAAAGTTACCCAGGTATGACTAACTGAAACAAATCTTCCCGAGAAAGTTCTCTTTGAAAGGAAAACAAGCTTTTGGTTTGTCCTGAGTCACTTATGATGAAACAGTTTTTATTGGGGGAGTTACATGGGTTGCAGTTGTAAACGAGGAATCTCTTGGAATTTCCTTTTGTAAGTTGTTAAGTTTTAATCAAATGTGGCTTCAGTTACTAAATACTCAAACTGAAGACACTTGTGCAATTTCCGCGCACTCAGCAGGTATATCATATTACGGATTTTTCTGGCGCGATATCTGTATTTTTAAAGTGTAATCATAGGCGAAAGCCAGAGTAAAACGTAAGATTCTGGGCAGCTGAAAGGGGTTGGCTTGGATGGCAATCCATTTCAACTGGAAATATATATATGTATACATATTTACACATGTACATAATGCGTGCGAAATCAGTGAGAACAAATTCCAGTTATCTTTTCAAGAGTTTTCCGGCATCCAAATTGTAGGAAAAATTGTAGAATATACAGTTGTTTGCGGTTACGTGCTAATCACCAATTAAAACCACCTGTTTGCAAACAGCTTCCACCTGCACTTATAAAGATTGTCAAAAACTTTGCTTGTTAAGTGTTATTTATTGCTGCGAAGAATAGATACTTTTTTGCCATCTGTCGGGATGAGTCTTCAAATGAATGAAACCGTGCGACAAGTCGATTCACCTAACGTTGAAAATGATTCTGCGTACAGTAGAGCTCTTAGCAATTTAAAAGCGTTATTTTGACCTGAGGAAAGATTGTACAGTCAATAACTTACGCCTAGTTAGTGAATGAGACAAAAGGAGGTAACCACACTAGGACACTGAAAGTTGTTACCAGTAAACAAATGCACAAGCGGCGCAAAAATGAAGAGCGGGAGTAAGAGAAGAAGAACGAGAACAGTAGGAAAGTTGGAAATTCATAAACAGAGGGGGTTATACAAGGCGGAAACTGTTCATTGCGTTGTCAAGTTCACTGTGAAAAGACATTTCAAACCAGCGGGTGAGTGATAATGTTTATGAATGGCAAATTAATAGATCTGAGGCTCAGTCATCCTTTACACACTGCAGCCGGCCTGTCTTACATGTAATCAAACAGAAGTATTGAAAGGCATATCAGCAAACAGATATATGCGGTGTGCAGACGATCTGTAAAAACCATTTTGGAAATATATGACAAAAAAACAACAAGCATCCGTACTCATCCACGTTAACCGTATGCCAAATTCCGTACACTCTGTTCACAACACATCCATCTACAATGCGATGAACAAATTGCTGATCTGTATGCTTGAACAAACGTCGATAGACAGACGGAGCTGATTCTTCGGAATGCCAGTTATCAGTGTAGAATGATCGTCCTCCTTATTTTTACAAAATACCTTTTAACACGGTATGCATTCTGCTTTTCTCATATACAGTCCCTGTGTCTACTCACTAAAACCTACTGATAACAATGTCTGGATAAATCAATCCCCATTAGTAATGATTTGCGAGTTAACTAGCAGTTCAGAGTTTTGTATCACAACTCAGTTCAAACAAACTTCACGCAGTTAATCGGTTGGTTTTCCAAATTCACTTGCGGAAACAGTTTTTTCAAGGCTGCAAACAGGCGTTTTCAACTGTGAGCTGAAACGCGGAAGAGTCTGTCTTAAGCGTTGCAACATATGACTGAATGTATCGCATATTTGTATTGGTTAATCAGCGTCCAAGGACTGCAGTACTGTAGAAAAAAGGAGTCAATCTTAGTTGACGATATGACGTCCAGCGAAGTGTTAGTCATCATTTAGGCTGTAAACAGTTTCATGTTTAAGACTACACGCCTATGGCGGATTCAACCTATTGACAGGATGATCTCGAACGCGCAGTGGAGGGAATTTAACTGGATCGCAATAACCCTCAAGAATGTCACTACACCATCTCCGACCTACCTCAAATGTATCACACAAACCCATCAGTTCGCCTGGATAAGTCAGTTTTAATTTAACCACTAAAGTACGCGTGCAAAAAGAATGAGTAAACCTTCGTCGACTCTAATATAACCCCTAATTGCCCTGTGGTGAAATCACAAGACCAGACGAGATTATGTGCACCGTCAAAGGCAGCATGAACAGATAATACATCTTCAAGGTCACAACAAAGCTGAGATAAAGGTAAATTTGCTTCATTAATTGTTACGCTAGGTTTTCTTGACCATCCTATCAGAAGAACAATTTCTTTCCAAACAGAAAGAAATATAGACTGATTTGTGTTCACTATTTGCATTTCAGTTACAATAGGTTTTCTACTGTAGTTCTGAGAATATGTCGTTCTGGAAAGTCACTTGTAAACAGTATATCAAATAGGACTTGTGTTTGCTCTAGTATAATTAAAACATATTTATGTATGCAAATCAGATACCGAATTAGGTTCTTAATTGTGCACATACATTTACACCCACATGTTCATATTTTCAAAGTGACTTTCGATCAGTTTTTCGTTGTGTCGTTCTTTCCTGCTGATCTGGTATGCACCCGTCTATAAACACAAAAATTAAGGGTGACTCACGCTTTTAACTGAAGTGGAGTTTACTATGGACAATGGTGAAGTACACTACTATTCAACTGAAACTTCTTGGTCCATTTGTTACATAGCTGTTGGCATCTACGTAATGTTTGACGACAATGACGTTCGCATTAAACGTGATGTTCAAACTAATTTCCAGAAGTAAGTTAGCTTTCAGATCATATGGCTGGACATATTTCTAAGAAAAGTTATACTAGCTAACCCTGTGAAAATGAATGACGCACGCGCCATACGTGTGACACAAGCATTTACTATTTCAGACTCTCCCTTACTTCAAGTGGTTGCGTGATTATTAACCTACACAGATAGATAAACCTCGCCGAATTTTTCGTATACAGATACACATTACAAAATGTTATGGCAACAACTTTCATTTCTGTGACCTCTGTCTTTACTGTTGCTCTTATCGATTGGCATTAGATCGAACTCGCACATCCTGTCACTAATTAAATTACCCTGTTTGTTACACTGTGATGTACCGAGGGTATTCAGTTGATCGTAAATTATACACGTGATCAATTCGAAGGTGCGTATGTAGGTCATCATCTGGCTTGATCATGTGGTTAGTGTGTTGTTTATTGGATAATGTCCGGCGGATCAGAAACAATGGTTGAAAAACTAGCTGCTTTTGCAAGTGCACTTAACAGGAGCCCGTTAAACAAAAAACTACACAGAAAGGCCATGGAAACAAGGTCTGCCATTTTCTTTAAACACCATTCACTTGTTACGAACTCGTTTACTGTTGTAAATAGTCTTTTTTGAAAGCCATCTATTGAAGTTCAATGTTCGCCTAAAGTAGGCAGAAGGGATTTTGTCACTCAGGTTCCCGACAAGACACTATCGCATAGATATGAATGGTAGCAGTTCAAATTTGAAAATAATCACCTAACAAACTTATAAAATTATCCGGGAAAAGCTGATAATCTGCACATTTTCATATGGAATGTTTAGAGCCTGCATTCACCTGCGGATTCCAGTGGGTCTGTGGTAAACAGAAGTGGGTTTTTCAGGATGTGTCACTATGTCACACCGGGCAATCCAATCCAATGTGCGGTGACAGCTACAAAAACCATCTTGTGAATTCGGCACACATTAACCTTCAAGCATATACTACGCATGATGCATTGTTGTGTAAGATTGTGTGAGCTTAAAACGGTGTTGCCGTCCCACGTAAGAATATCTTCAAGTATGTCACAGTCTGACCGGATAATTAGATATATTACTAATAAGTAGTTTGGCAGTTCAACGATTTTAAATGAGACCCAACTGTGAGAAGTTAGGGCTTCGACTGGATTCGAACCAACGACAGAAACACCATGTCTCAACGCGGCAAGCGCTCTACCACCTGAACTACAAAGACAAGACAAGGGCTCGGAAACTTCACATTTACACTCGGTTACCCACCGTCTTACTGTCTCATATGGAACCCACCAAATGATTCAGAGAATCGACTGCCTCAGCAGGATTTCCCGAACAGTTCACACTGGAATCCACCAGCACTACTTGGGTGGGTAACCGAGTGCAAATGTGAAAGTTCCGAGCTCTTGGCCTGTCTTCGTAGCTCAGCTGGCGAAGTGCTTGCCACTTTGAGACATGGTATTTCTGTCGCTGGTTCGAATCCAGTCGAAGCCCTGACTTTTCACAGTTGGGTTTAATCTAGAATTAGATATATACCTAAATAGACAAGTATACTCAACTGTAAATTAAAAAGTGGAAATGTTTTTAACTGGTAATCATTTGATTGCACTCTATTTCGGAGGTCTTTTAATTGGGCCCTCAGGAAAAATCTGAGTTTCCCACCTAAAAGCAAAATGTGTACTTCAGACATAATGTCGATTTAAAACCATTAAGGAAACGCAAAGAACAGGCAAACTAGCGTTTGCTACTACATTCCGGACTGTTGACAGACCGTTCATTGTTATGCAGTTGCCATCACCAGGTAACCAGTTCCTATACATCCTTAAATTACTTTCACACTTTGAGAAAATATAACATTAATCATTTCTACTACTGCTACACTAATGCACCCCACAAAAATGTCGAGAGTATAACTAAATCTGAGAGTAGCTTCACGGTCAGGTAGACGTCTAAACTGGTACACTTCAAACAGTCGCAATTTTTTCAGTGTTCCTTTCGCAAGATTTCATCAGAAAAGAGCTGTCTTATTGCTACCTTTTCTTACGTTAGAATCATGATTGTGTTTTTGCAAAGTAATGTCAGGAATTCCAGTTTTTTCCACTCCTTTCTATAACTTTTAATCTAAAATGCGGTTTTCTCATACAACCGTATAGCAGTTGGGTGACAACGTAGTTCGATGAAAAGAAGGTTGCCACGTTGGTCGTGATGACGACAATATTAATGGGCAGCACTTTGAAAAAAACGTTGAGCTTCTATCGTGTAGGCTTAGCGGCCACTGGCTGACAAATCTAATGTGGTACTCATCCAATCCTTTACACCTGAATAGTCGTTTGTAAGGAGAATCCAGCCTATTCGCTCGTCCAAATGGATAGGATTTAACATGCTTCACCTCATACGTTGGTGTCTAAATCCATTTTGGAACAGAATTTACTTCATGGCACTTGCCAGGCACTTAATTGAGCATTTCGCCATTGATTGAAGACAAGTAGGTTCCACCTCAAATGCTACACACAAATTAGGACCAAAAGAGCGCTTAGCAAAAATTGTTCGAAGCAAACGTAGATCGTGTGAAGGCAGCCAGGAATGAAAAACTTGGATTAGGCAAGCTGATACCTGTAACCCAGAAGTATAACTGTAACGCCATCAGCAGCCTAATTTTCTCCATTGCTCACTTGCTTGAGACGTGGCTAACCTGCTGTATTGAGGGAAGATTAGTACGTTACGAACTTCCGTTGAATTCGCAATTTGCAAATTGTACAAACTGTTGTTATTTATCATTCTCTTCATGTAGTTAACCTGTAACAGCCAAAAAAAATCACATAGGTCAGCGAACGTCACACACATTAGATGAACTGCAATCGACTTTAAGGAAGTAGAACATTTGGAAGGGTGGTATAAGTGTCATCCATGGCTGATAATGTTAGATAGCTCATGGTTGTCAAGGTCTCAGATAGTCTTGAGATGTAAAGCCTAATAAAGTAAGCTGTCGGCAAAACTGCCTTGGCACACACAGAAGTAAACCATAGAGTGCGAAAGCAATGGTTTTAGCTGTTGTTCGATCTAGTGAACTACTTGACGGACCCTGTGAATCTTTAGAAACTTAGTCCCGTTTAGTCCAACAGCTAGCATCATTCAGGTATGAATCAGTTGTGCTTAAAATGGACTTAATAGAACCGTTACAGGGTTATTTTTGGAGATGTTTTCCATTCCGATCCGGTTGTGGTTCTGTGGTCCTCTCAACACAACCAGCTTGATAACAACTGAAAGAATGGAATGAGAATACGAAGAAACCCTAAACACGCTTTTTCAAACGTTAGCTTCAGGACCAGATAGATATTAGGCAACCGAATAATTCTTATAGTACGATGACAACTGTCAGTTACGTTTATGAGTCTACGACCGAACACTTCACCGCTGGCCTGCTATGAAGTATGGCATTTTTTCCACTGTTTAAACGACTTTACGCTTCCTGTTGAAATATACACCCGCATCTAGAATTCCCACGGTTATATATTCCCAATAAACACTTACTGAGTATATTTTACCTCGTCCTGTATAAGAATTGACTTGTGGATCTTCTGTATACCATTCATAAGGTAAAAAATTAGGTTAGTTTCTACGTCAGTTTTGCAACTTTATGCAAATGTCTACGTTGAATAGCCCGACGAGCTGGTCTGTGAGTTGATTCATCCGACCGGTCAACTAAAATTGCTCCTGAAAATGATAGTTTGTTGTCACGTTAGACTTTGCTCATGAACGGACTGCCGTTAGGGCTATGGCAATTGGTCGTCACCTTATCGGGACAAGACAAAAAATCATTTAGTTGAGGCTGACGAAACGTACAGTTAATGGAAATGTGGTGAAGTTCACTGACTTGTTAGTTTACCAAGCAGACAGTGGACCAAGAAATTAACTCATTGCTATTCCAGCTGTTAATTTTTAAAACCCTATGGTAATCCTGTACTCAAGCAGTAAAGGTGCAAAGATTGCCAACTTTTTCCATTTTCTCTTATAATGCCGATAACGATTCAAATATAATCTATGTATATTCACGTGAGGTCAACAGGTTTGGTGGAAAGTTGGTGACTAGATAGATATATTCAAAGAAATCTTGTAGTTACTGACCTTTGTTGAATCAGCCGGGTCTACGAAGACAATGTGCCCTCAGGCTAAACAGAGTTAGCCCAAATATGACCGTTTCAAATATCTTCCTTAATCGGCGGAATGATATTGTGAATTCCGCTTGCTCACGGTTCGTTAAAACGACCAATTTTAGAAAGATCGTATAAACGTCGAAGAACCTCTTCGCAGGTCTGATGCAATCCGCGGTAAATTTGGCTTACTTCAATTAACACAGCAATTTCTATGGAATTTTCTCCGTTGCTGTTGCTTTGTCTCCATTATTTTCTATCTTCTTGAGATTTAAGTTGTCCGACAGAACCGACGACCATTTAATAACGCGATGAATTTTTTCGAGTAAAACCATTTCTCCTCTTGTGTTCAGTTTTGTCATTAAGTTACTGTGGTTAGGTTGCACGCAGCTGTGTACTGTGTTACGGTCTCAGTAGATCGCAATTCATTTTTTGTAGACAGGTAGTTTTATAACGCGTTCGCGAGAAAAAAACATACAGTCCTCAGCATTCTGTCATGATGTTGAAACCAGTTGATCCACATGCCAATACATGCTTTTGAACTAAGCTTCTGTATATAATCTGTTACCTTTATCTTTTGTAATGCAATATCATCGCTTCATTGATAACGCCTCCAACACCACTCGACTCAATGCTACAGAGAATTAACTGTAAATAATTTATCCTAATCCAGTGGAAGTCACAATCTACATCTCGACCAAGCTATTTGGTAAATAGAATCGGGAGACGTCTTAACGTATGAGGCATATGGTTCTTGATTTTCAAAACAACTTGTTTTATGCTGGAGAAAGCCGATCAACAGTTTTTGGTCTCGACTGAGTGTATATTGCACACAGTTTGTCAACTGCTGTCTCCAGCTCTGAGAGAACTAGAAAGAGTCAGAACTGATTTGAACAATCAAATTGTAACCAATATATGTCACGCCACATTGTAAGACTGTGCGTGGAAACTGTTTTCAGAATGACAAACCAGTTCGTGAATAACAGTTTCGTGAAGTCAAATGTAGGACAGGCTGTGTACTGTAAACTCAATGCTGTCAAAACCTAAATGGCATCATTGTAGTGGTCGTACTTAAATGAAAGATAATGTGAATTTCACTTAGCTTACGGGTTGTGACCTTGAATTTCACAAATATAGAAAAAATGCTCATTTGTCTGCAAACTACACTACTGACTTTATGCGCATCTACAAACTTTACAGAATACGGTTTAGTGAACCTAGACAGGATAAGTGGAAAAATGACACACGTAACACTCTAAAAGACAGAATAAACCGCAAGAGTGACCGTACAACTCACAACAGTTCAGGAGAACTAATGCGCGGAAAGGTGATTGGGAAGTCATTCTTCAGTTTTGACATCTTCAAGTACGCCACCCATGTTTATAAACAGCAGTCAATAACCCACTTTCTTTTGACCCTTTACGAGTTTTCACACTCTTAATTTTGAGTTCTCCAGTATGATTACAATCGGTTATTGGTCCACCCGTTCAGTCGGTGAGTGGCTACCGATGCGTAAAATTTATGAACGCTTATTAATGTGGATCGGTTCATCATAAACCATCAGTGAACTAGTCAGTTTTGTGCTTCCGTGTTTTGTTCAGAAGGGCCCGTTTGTTTTCGGTATTAGTGAGGTTAGCCTACATATGTATTTGTAATTTGTATGCTGTCAGAATAACGCTGGTGGCAAGGCGACGCTACGAGAGACATGGATTCATTGAAGAAGGTTTGGTAAGAGGATATTAGTGGACCCAAAATAGTAGCTCCATCAGCTAGTGGAAACAATGGTCGAACTAGTTTCCGCTCAGTAGTGCACAGTCCTCATTTTGGAACGATTCTGTGGTTTACCGAACCACAGATTTTGTTTGCGTTGATCATAAAATCTACTGTATTGAGCTGGTCTCCATAAACGTTGTTCATTCGCCCCGTTGATACCTTCAGTACTGAGTAGAGCGTCTTTGCAAACCTATCTACAATTCTTCTTGAAAACATACATGTTGAAGCTGGGCTACTTAGAGTGAGGAACTCAACTGTTTTATGCAACGAATGACCGGATAGTTTCACGGCATACTTGTCAGCAGCTGTGTTTTACCCGGGTTGATCGTTTAGTTAACGTTCAAGAGAAACTTTCTACCTCTCTGTTCTGAACAACACCACTTTACGGTAGATTTTTTGGCTTTCATGCTCAAAACAGAGTTTGATAACACAGTCTACAATCACCGTGACAGTGTCACTACGTTGGAAGATGCACACACAATAACTTACGCGTATAGTTGAAGCTATGCTAAGGCACACTATCTGTTTCGGTGGCTTCCGTTAACACTTTGATGATATTCGTACTTCCAC